GTGCATTTTATTTTGTATATGTATCAATCTTATTTAAGGAATTTCTTCTATATATTTCTGGCTACTCATTGTATTCAATTCAAGATATTGATTTTCCAAAAAAAACTAACGAGAAGACTCGATTCATCAAAAAAGGTGAGATAAAATTAACAATAAAAATGATCAGGCAAGACAAAAAAATCAATAAATGCAAAAGAACATGTCCTTTGATTCCCAGTTGTAACTTTAGGTGGTGCGACCAGAATCAAATCATGGAGGTAGAGGAGCAGCACCATGAATTGTCAATCACGGAGAAGACAAAAGAACCGCTCAGAGATAAATCCAGGCCCATGCCTTCAGCTTTTAGACGACATTCTTCATCTCCATTATGGTGTTGGGGCTGGAAAGCAAATGCACCATCTATTATCATTATTATGATATGTTCTCTTCCCATTTAATACTCCCTCATTAACACTCATATCTTCCCACTTTCCCTTTTTAGTTGTAATCTTCATATTTTCCTATTTTCCTGTTCAATAATTTTAAGAATAATACACTATTACAAATACTATTTTTGCATTTATCCTTTATTCCAACACACTATTTCATTTTCTCATTATACCGTCAATAATTTATACTACGTATCTCCTTTCACTATTCTTAATCTCACCTACTTTTCAAATGTGAGTATATCTGTTACGGAGGTAGTAATTATTATGTAATATAATGACCGCCCTTTACAAATCTATAATCTGTTAATTCTGATTACATACAATTCTGATTACACAAATACACACTATATACGAAGTATTCCCTTCGTCCCATAAAATTCTTTCCACTTTCCTTTTTGGGTCGTCTCAAAAAATTCTTGTCACTTAACATTTTTGGACAATTTGTGTGGTTCACATTCATTTCACTTTTTTCTTACACAAGTAATCTTAGTGCCAAGTTAAAGTGGGAAGAATTTCTGGGATGGAGGGAGTATCTATTACTCGTAATTCAAAACATTTTTATTACTATTTAAAAAAATCACTAATCTATTTTATAGTCCTCTCATTTTTATTTAGATGTATAGTTTTACTTTCATGTTTGCTTTTAAATGACTTTGACTATTTATGAATATAATCATGCGTTATTCTATAGCAAAAGGCATATATGCTACTTCTCCCGTCCGTTATAAGATTCTCACTTTCGTGAAACAATTATTAACAATCTTAAGTGACAAATTAATCATTAAATATTAAAAATAATTCATTTATAACATCACAGTTATCAATACTAACTACATTATATTATATATCTATTAAAATTATTTCTCAAAATATACTCGAAGTACTTTATTGAATTATTGCCCAAATAACCGTGTCGTTTTGATATGGGAACCTTCCAACGTGACGAGGGTAGTATCTTTTAAATTACACTACATCCCTGTTTAAACTTTCTAGTTTGAATAAAATGCATTTAGGGAAATAAATTTGTTTCCTTGACTTTGTGGAATGCCATTTTTATTGAGGGAAAATTTTACTCCCATCCGTATTTGTAAAGTAAAATGTTTTAACACTGCTTGTTATTCCATGCCTATATATGAGGCTAACATTAATTGTCTTACATTGTGCAATCATCATAACTTAATGATAGGAGCATCTTCACATTTTCAATACTATGAGAAAGATTCTTTTGAGGGCCAAAAACAATAATACCATGGAGTAGTATATTAATTGAAAAAATGTTGAATACAGGAAGGAATAGAAAGTAATGAAGTATGTAAATTAGCCTGAGAATTCGTTGCCCGAGCCAAGGTATTAGGCAACAAATTCATTGATTTATGAGTAAAGTGAAAAGATCCCGTACACTGAATCGAAGTGTCTTGCTAAAGATCGACAACTAGCTCACAATAATGAGTTTTTTTATAAGGAGGGTTAGTTTCCAATCTTATTTCCCAAATTACTGTAGTTTTAAACTTATTTCTCAAATAGGGGTGTTTTTTGCCTTGTCATCCGGCTGGACGAGCCATGTCAACGAAACCCGATTATTTGCGATTTTATGTCACCCGCTCGCCACATCATGCCTCCATGTCATCCCACTCACATGTTTTTTTAAATATCAAAAAAGTTGATGTTAGGGGGAGTTGAACATGAGAGCTCCTTGCTAGATTTTGGGTCTTCATCCACTATACCGATGCAATTACTTGTTACTTTGTTGTTTTATTATATACTACCTCCGTCCCAAATTGATTTGCAAATTTGACTTTTCTTGGTCAAACAGTTTCGTTTTGTTCGCTTGATTAGGATGTCAATTTTTAGTTATATTTTAATTTGGAGTTTACAACTTTGAAGAGATTTTAATGTAGTTTATGAATATGTAAATTTTAATTATAAAAAATTGAATTAATTATCAATAGGGAAGATTGACTTTTATTATTGGTTGACCAAAAAATGTTGACTTTGCAAAACAAATTGGGACGGAGGGAGTACTTATTAACTTTTTTGCTTAATATAACATCAATAAAGTTTACTATATTTTCAATATAACAATAATAAAATAATAATTATTTATCCAATAAGATAGAGTATTCATATTATCCCCTAAGAGGGATATTATGTATATTCCGTTGAGAAAGTTACTCAACGAGTCAATGTCAATGTATTTCTGTAGGTTCTGGTTAGTGTTTTATTTTCATGGGTATTTCACTTCATATTTTTAGCTAAGAATCATTGATGAAACTTTAGCTGGATCCTGTATTACTAGTCTCACTAGTAATATACATACATAAATGTGCAATTATTTTAAATAATTAATTTAATCGATTTCTTGAACGGAAAATTTTAGTATTTTTATGATCTACCAATTGGAAGTAATAGTTGATACCAACGAATATAAAAATTGAATTGTAAACATCATTTTTAGTACAAAATAAAGTTGGCCGGACGGGTTTCCGTCAGGCTTGCCTAATTTGAATGCTACTGTATACGGAGTATGTTATTCATAATATCCCTCTTAGGGGATAATATGAATACTCTATCTTATTGGATAAATAATTATTATTTTATTATTGTTATATTGAAAATATAGTAAACTTTATTGATGTTAGATTAAGAAAAGAAGTTAATAAGTATATAATAAAACAAGAAAGTAACAACTAATTGCATTGGTAGAGTGGATGAAGACCCAAAATCCAGTAAGGAGTGTTGGGGTTTGACTCCCCCTAGCATCTAATTTTTTGATATTTAAAAAAATATGTGAGTGGGATGACATGGAGGCATGACATGGCGAGCGGGTGACAAAATCGCAAATAATCGGGTTTCGCTGACATGGCTCGTCCAGCCGGATTACAAGGCAAAAAACACTCATGTTTGGGAAATAAGATTTGAATGTACCCCTCCTTGGGAAAAACTCGCACAATAATAGTACCCGCGCGCGTAAGATAGGTCCAGAGTAGAAGAGTTGATAAGATGACAGAAATTAAGGCAATCTGTCTCCACATGAATATGTTTCCAATTTTCATTCTTCATTCAAGAGAAATCTTCTTTCACTCTCACTTCTCTTTCCTTTTTCCCACAATGTTATGATTCTTTTTCTCAACAATGTCAACCAGGTTGTCCACCTCTAGACATAGGTTTGACATATATAACCGTTGAAATAATTGGAAAAAACATTTTACTAATTATTAATTTTTATGTATTTATGTGTCTCATGTTACACATGTTTCGTTCACATTTTTACATTAGAGATGTTCCTATAGAGTAAATTTATACAGTTTTTTACGAAATAAAGTGTTCTAGAATACTTTATTTTGGGGAAATAATAAAAGTTCTTTAAAAGGCGACAAGATACATTTTAATAATTCACAAGTAATTATGGTGTGCTCAAAATAGGGTCTGCAAACGATCAAAGTTAAAGGGTTATAACTTTGAACAAACAGAATAATATAAAGTTCTTATCTTTATGCCATATATTCTTTCTTTACATGGTTTGTGTGCATTGAATAAAGTCAGAAAAATGTGAAACTTTTATTACGAGTGTGTCCGTGCGATATTTTTCTAATTTAGACGAGGCGGGGGGGATTGAACACACATACAATGCAGAAGGAATGTTGGGTTAATGGCGCATTCATACGAAACTAATCATGTCGCATCGGATATTATTAATTTGACATCCTCACATGCCATGCTTCTATTGTCCCCCTCACTCCATGCATCTTCCTTTCTTGCTTTCTTTTTCACCAAGATTTAAAAAAAAATGATGACACACTAATGAAATACCAAGATTTAAAAAAATTATGTGAGTATGAGATGCATAATTTTGACATACTATACTCGTATCATGTACTCCATCCGCGTCACTTTAGTTGTACTAGTTTCTTTTTTGGGACGTATCAAATTAATTGTCACATTTCCATGTAGCTACGGTACTTTTATAATATTGCTAAAGTACTGCTACAGAACCAAATGTCTCTTACTTTTCATAAGATCTACGGTAATCATCTTAAACGATGTTAAAAAACAAATAGAACAACTAAAGTGATATGTAGGGAGTGAAACTCTACTATGAAATCATATGGACTTCCATGTCACTATACAAATGTTTTCATTTGGATCGATTTCAATATCAGATTAAATTATACTCCCTCCATCCCTCAATACTTTGACAAGTTTGACCGGTACGGGAAATAATAAAGTAAAACTATGTGGTTGAGATATGTGCAGAGGAGAGAAAAATTAAAGGAACCACAAATTCATTGATCAAAAAGGAAAGTGGCAATGTTTTTGGGACATCTAAAAAATGAAAGATGACAAAGTTAAACAGATGGCACCCTACCAAAAAAAATAGTTCTAAATTAGTGAATGACTATAATAATACCAATGAGACGATACATAATAGTCATTTACAATAACTTTGGACAATACAGTAAAAAAACAACTTCCACCGGTTAGAACTTAGAATAGGTAAATTTTTACACCAATAATTGAATTAACTTTTTATGTACCTTTGTATTCGATCATGACTTGAGGCAACATAGAGTTTATATAAGTGGTCGAGTACGTTGTACCTTCTTGCATTTCTGCTCAATCATTTTCAACGAGGGATACGCCATTGAATTATCAACGCAAAAAGAAGATTGATTTAGCCAAATAGGCAGGATAAGATCGAGGTAGAAGAAGAAGAAAGGAAAGCCAGACCAGGCCAGACAGCTGATTCAATTCGTGCCCATGAGATGGGTAACTGCCAAGCAACCATAGAGACCAGTAATCCAACGACTGTTTTGGTCATCCAATTCCCAGCAAATGGGCGCGTGGAAAAACACTATTCCCCCCTGTCGGCCCGTCAAGTCATGACCGCCCATCCCGGCCACTACGTCGCCCTCCTCCTCACCACCACCACCGCCGCCGCCGCCTTCAATGCCACCGACAATAAGAACAACGCCGTACCGGTCCGTATCACGCGCATAAAGCTCCTCAAACCAACCGACACGCTTCTCCTGGGACACGTTTATAGACTAATGACTGCTCAAGGTTAATTCATACGAGTACTAAATTGTCCATGTTATGTCCGTATTAATCAGCAGCTGGTTTCATTTCTCTTAAATTTCATCAGAAATTCGCTAATTTTTGGTAATTATTATGTTTGGATCGATTGATCAGATATAGCGAAAGGCTTGCGGGTGAAGAGTGGGTCAAAGATGATGATGATGATGAGTCAGCAGCGGCCATGCTCGAATAAGTTCAAAGAAAAATCAATCACTTCAGATTCAAACAGCGGATTAGTGCATAAGAACCAACAGGTATATAACTATTTTATCTACCGATTAAATAGTTAGATTTATTGAATTTGATTGATGAAAGTACTAAACATGTTTACGATAGCCAGCTGAAAAGGGTATATTTTATGGCTTATAACTTTGTCATCCTTTCTTATTAAAACGTTTCAAAAAGTTCAAAGAAATTATAATTCTTGTTGTTTCTCTCACTTTTTGTATAAATGTTAATCACATAATTTTTACTTTAGTATTTTTTCATATCACTCATGTAAAATTTTGAGAGAAAGAAGGAGTACTTGTGAACTTTTTGATAATCAATTCTTTTAGTGATCGATAAGATCTGAAAAAAGTTATACCTGTTTCATAAAAGATGATTGTTTAGCTTTATTTTAAATTAATAAACTGTTGTGATTAGTCAATGTAAAAGTTATAAACTCTCTTTCAAAACCAATTAAATGTAGTTTCTACAAAAAGATTCTATAAAGTTTTTAGATTTTAAAGATTTTCATCTGATAGTATAAAAGTTAGAAGGTAATTAGATATGACTAAAACAGCTAAATTATAATCCGTTTAAAATACTTGTCTTATAAGTATTTGTTTTTTGGTAGAATTATAGAGTAAGAGCTAATTGAAATATGGAGTATGTTTTTATGTTAATTATGCGTTCTTAAATATTCCTAAATGATACTCCGTATTCCTTTGTCTACTCCATATTTTTATTCTTTTTCATTTTCTACTTCATACTACTTAGGGATGGACTCGGGCCGGGTGGCCCGACCCGGAACCGGCCCGAGACCGGCACTGTTCTGGCCCGGCCCGACCCGGTGGCCCGGTCAGTGACCGGTCCGGGTAGGCCCGGCCCGTGGGTTTTCCGGTCCGGGCTCGGGTCACCCAAAACAAGGCCCGACCCGGCCGGGCCCGGGCCCGGTTCGGGCCAATTTTTTTTTTTTTTTGTTTTTTCAATTTTTTTTAACTTTTCGGGTTGGGCTGGGTATTTTGGGCCATTTGGGGTGGTTTGGGGGGTTGGGGGTGGGAGGGGGGTTAATTAGGAAGAGGAAAACAAAAAAAATATATATATAATGGGCCCGACCCGGCCCGGCCTGGCCCGGACCCGGTGGTTACCCGGCCCGGCCCGGCCCGGACCCGGTGGTTACCCGGACCGGTCCCGGGTCCACCATTTCTGATCCGCCGGCCCGCCCCGGACCCGGCCCGGACCCGAGTCCAACCCTAATACTACTATTACTCCGTATTTGATACAATAAATAATCCTACGGAGGGAGTATCTAGGATAATAATACAGAGTATGAAGATAGTATATATTATCTATTTCAAGTAATAAAATTTACTATCTTCCCTTCTTTTATTAGTCGCAGAATTCTCTTTTTCACGTTTACGAATGCACAACTTTGACCATCATTATATTTAATTCCCTATGAGTAAAAACATTTTAAAAATCAAATTATGAAACTTTGTAATGAGACGAATTGAACTATATTTTTCAAAAAAAATAATTCACATACATTATTAAATAAAATGTAGTCAAAGTAGTGTATATGAATAATATGTAAATTTCAATGTTGCAACTAATATGATACGGAAGGAGTATCTAGGATAATAATTTTTATTTTACTTATTCTAATAATTACTTAATTCATACGAGTACTGTGGAATAAAAGAAAATGAACGCTTGCTCTAAAAAAATAGGACTAGAAAAACTAACAAGCTAAAAATATACTCCTTATTACGTATGCATTAGCAAAAGATGGATTACCCGCACGGGTAGCTCAGTTGATCGAGTGGTGGGAGATTTGGATCAATGGACCAAGGTTCGAATCCCCGCAGTGACCGGGTGGAGGTCACAGAACCTGAAATAAAGTTGAGCCTCTGGTCCGCACGGATGTATGGGTCTACTGCCATTCTACTGATTGAGTCACCGTGACTAATCTCCTCACCATCCTGTCGGGTCGGCTGAGGGCTCCTCGGGCGGGAGATTCCACTTTTTTTTTATCAATAGCAAAAGATGGATTAATTCTTGATTGGGGCAGGTAAAGGATGAAAAGCATAGGTACTCATCTGGCAGATGGCAACCCTCACTACTGAGCATCTCAGAGGCAGCAGGAAGCTAATAGATGTATAATGACTAGTCATTTTTATGTACTACTAGTAGCTTTCTTTAATTTGTATCATATCCTGGAATATTTTTACAGCACCTTTAAATCTCCCCCACACCTTAAAAGAAAGGGCTTTAGCCTAAGTAATGGCGATCAGATCTGATTATTAGACATGTATCAACAATACCTCAAAACTTGATCTACTCTTTTCACTCTCAGTATGGAGATGACAACAGCTTTGTGTACATCGCAGGTGTGTATTTATTGGAGCATGTGAAGCTTTTTTCGAGTTCACAAATAATATTTTTTTGAGAAAAAGGTAAGATAAGGCCTCGAACTTACAAAAAAATGTCCAATAAGGTCTTATATAAGAGTTTCTGTCCGGCCGACGCCATTTGGGGCGGTTCCTTGTGGAATTTTTCGATGAAATTTTGTGAGAATCTTATTAATTAAGTCTAATTTACTCATACCAAATTTCAGCTAAAAATTCAACCGAGGAGGCATTCAAATAAATTCTTGAAGATAACTGCGCTTTTAACTGCGCACTTATCTTCAAGAATTTATTTGAATGTTTTCCCAAATGAAGTTTTAGCTTAAAATTGATATGAGTAAACTAGACTTAATGAATAAGATGCTCAAAAAGTTTAATTGAAAAATTCCACCGGGAACCGCCCCAAATGGCGTCGGCCGGACAGAACCTCCTATATAAGGCCTTATTTGACATTTTTTTGTAAATTTGAGGCCCTATCTGACCTTTTTCCCTATTTTTTTGTGTAAAATATTATCTGAGAATCGATGTGTAGAAAAAAAAAACTTTCACAAACATGGGTGGATATAAAAGTGGTTACAACTTACAAACATCATTTTTGATAAAATATTAGGTATTTACAAACACAAACCGGGCCCACACGGCGTGTACAAACCCACATTAATTGAGAAAAAATAGTATTATTTCTGAGTTGGTATTTGTGAATGAAAAGGCGTTGAAATTGATGGATCCTGCACCAAGAAATCCTTCACCCCTTGGTGTTTCTTCATTAATAAACATGAACACATTGTTTCTTTATGTCCAATAACATGCTTCTCTGATCATCCTAGGGGCGGACAACATCTCAGATACTGACCGGAAACAGTTAATTTTCCGTTCGATAAAAACCACGCCGAGTTCTCGTCCAATTCCTTGATTAAAGTCCAAAATTCTAGTTATGACTGATTCAGAGTCAAAATCAAAGCACATACACAACTGCAAGTCTGCAAGTTTTAACCAACCTGGAATCCATCGACTTGTAACCTACTCCAGCTATGGTTCTCTTAGTTGGGAGGCCAAACTGTTTCCACCCTTAGGGCCATGTATGAACCTAGATTTTGTCATGGATTTAAAATCTAATCTTATGTTGGTTGAGTACTTGAGTTCAGTGTCTTATTCTTTTACTCATAAGTTAGCCAATACACATTACAATTTACGAGTGGACATATGAGCATCAATGGGTTGTCTCATAAGTCATAACAGGAAATTTTTATACGGCAAGAAAGTTTGAACATCAACAACATGACATCTTGCTAAAATCCAAATAAATTTGGCTCTCAATCAAAGTTTGTTGATATATTGATATATACAAACCTAGTTAACTGCAACACAAGTAAAATTATTAATGCTTATTATAACAATAACAACTATAACGATAATAGTAATAGTAAAAAATAATAGCAATAGCAAGAAACAAGCTCAACAAGGGCAATTAAACAACGATAACGGACATACTCTGTGAAAGCCCACATTAACAGTCCACGTGCTATTATAACAGCGCTATTAGAAGTGAACCAAATGAGGACCAAAAGGCGTTTACCAAGTATATTTCTTGTCTTCTAGGAGTGCCTCAAAAATCAAGCTCTAGTGAGCAAGGCTTCTCTGTACACTGATCAAGGCTCAGTGGAACCAGTGGTAAATTCATTGTCTTTGCGACCCTTTCTAGCAACGATCCTCCGAACCGAGAACCACCTTAATACACTGAACAACATTGTCCACCTCATCTGTGCCTTGTCTGGTGTAACTGCTGTACTCCCCAGAAAGCTATTCACCACAGCACTCTGTAAATAACAATCCGCTTGTTCAAAGCTACTGTGAAGTGAAAAATCTGGGTCAAAGTAGGATATAGTCTCATCCTCCCCTACAAAAGGTTGACTTGCAGAACCTCTACAACCATCGATAAAGGAATCAGTTTCTTGGAGCGGTTGGTCAAAACTAACATCCAAACTGTCAATACATTGCAAATCATAAGGATCTAATCCACTCAAACCGCCAAATGAAAATGTTGATGGCATGTTTTCAGGTGATGCACTTGATGGTAGATAATCGTATCCCGTAACCTTTTGTGATGTTGAAGCCTCACCTCCTTCAGTGTTATTAGCCATGCCAAATGATGAGTTTGAAGATTGGATATGTTGAAACACCAACGACTCATTGTCAAAACAGACCACTTCTCCCCAGTTCCCAAGTGCAGATATCACTAACTCATGTGCCTCAGCCTGGAATGAACAAAAAGGTACGAACAGAGAAAGATGAAATCCAGAATTCTGTACAAAAAGGGATGAGCATTGAAAGATGTAATCCATAACTTTGACAACAGAAAGGCTTTAACCCCTGCAAATATAGCATGTTTTGTTTAAGAACCCATTTTTTTTCATCCTTGTAATTTAACTTTGAAGTTCCTTAATGTAGAAAACTATTGGCCTGCATAACTCCATGCTAAACTTTCAACATCCAATATTTATAACTTTTTAGAAACTAAAGGCGGAGTAAAGGTTAAAAGAAGTTAATCATTCATGTTAGTGTATGTATGTTTCTATGGCTCTCTGCAAACCAAAATATTATGCACCATTTAAAAATTGTATTTTTGGAAAGCAAGATTGAAATCAAGCCGCCGTTTTTGTGAAACAGAGGTTTTGAAAGGTTGAAGAGGGAACTTAATCAAATAAACATAAATTGCTGGGATGAAAAAAACAAAACTGAAGGGGTCAAACGATAAGCACTATATTCACAAAGAAAATCCCATACTTAAGCCCAACAAATTAATGCATCCTTAGAATGACATTTTGTCCCAAAATGCAAAATCTGCTAAACGTAGTTCCTTGTAAATAGTAGATCATTAGAAGCAAGCTCACCTGATCGGTCTCAGATAGCTTGTCAGCAGGAACATACTGAGAGTCTACAAAGAGACCCATCACTTGTGCCACAATGTTGAAAACAACGCCCTTCTTTTGCTCCGTTCCAGAAGGGTAGTATGAGTATAGTTTATTGCCAAGCACACATGTTCTGGCGTGCTCAACTGTGACTTCCCACATCTTGGTGGACATTCCTGTCCCAAGGATCTGCAACATTTCCACACAAAGTCTCATACATACAACAACACAATTCATTTCATCATCGTATTTGCTTTTTTAACTAGACTGTTGCTTACATTTCGAAGTCTTGCTGAGTCAATCGATAGTAAAGTCAGAAAATCTTTTACAGTATATACTTTTTCCTTTCTCAAACGTCTGTGAAATGCTCCATCTTTACCAATTTTTTCAAGCCTCCATACTTCATCCAAGAGAGATGGTGGGTGGTGCTTCTTGTATACTGCAAATACACATGGGGAAAAAGTGATGGTATAATTTTATTTATTTAGTCAATAATTTATCGCAATACATTCAAAAGAGAGATGGCAACTGGTGTTTCTAAACCATAATCACATTTTCTCGTCATCATTGCTTCTTTCCTGAAAAAAAAACTTGCTAAAACTTCAAAAAAGTTTTTGCTACTTTTTTGCTTTTATAAGGACCAAATCAGTCCTATTTTTAGGATAGAACAAGGATGCTCTTATTTGTTGCCACTTGCCATGTTTTATGTCGTACAAAAATTACGAACTTACACTCTCCGCGATGGTCCCTAACAATGAAAGACTCTGTTTTTGCCTCCAAAACCTTAACTCCATCAAAACTGTCAAAACATCTTGCCCCCAGCCTGAACTTACGGCTTCTAGTCCAGCTAGAATTATCTGTGAAAGAGATATCACCAACAAAACCAATACCCTCTTTAAGATTCAGAAACACATCCCCGTTAAGAAGAGGTTTCTTCCCTTCCCTTGCTCTAACAACGTTATCTCTAAATTCCTCAGCAGTCCAGCTATTCCCTTCATCGTTGTCAAAATCTCCTTCAAGAACCACCAATTCAACCTTAGCGGATGATTCTGGGCCTGTTGTCACAACCTGTCCAGTAAGAGCATCAACTAATGAAACTCTAAAACCTGAGCAATCTTCTCCTTCTATGCGAGTTCCAGTAAACACAGGAGGAGAGATAGAATCAATGAACTTCAACTTGAGGCTTCTTAACTCATAAGGGTTTTCGTCTCTGCCTCCATTCCTATAACGAATTCACAATAGCGAAACTAAAGCAGAAAAATCACATATGTTTGATGCTTCATGAAAAGCTAACTGTATTTATCGAACATTGAGTGTTTCATACCCTTTCAAACTGGAGATGTATTTTCTTAATGCAAAGTCAACTTCCTCTTTTACCTGTAAGCACCCATGAAAAAACACAGTCACCAATATTTCATAATCATCACATGCCAAATGGAAATTAACATGCCAAATGGATTCAATTTGTGGGGCAACTAGGAAAACAAAACAAACTGCCCCAATTTTATGTATGCATGAGAATGTTGAAAGTCAACAATAAAAGTTTCTTAAGCATAACAATACATGGAAAACAAATTATACGTGATTGTAAAAGAACTAAAACAACTTCAAGAGGCGTGCACTTACTACTCTACGAATTAAAGGCTCCAATACCGGCTCCATAAAGGTCTGCATTTTTTGCATATTCATAACCTCCAACACCACACTGCAGAAATGTAAAACATAATTAGTAACTAATAAATTCACAGAGAAAAATTAGTTAATAAGATTTAAGGTGTTATTAATGATGGTAAATTAGATGAACCCTATAACAGTAATAAAGAGAATGAGTAGGCCCCTTGTTCTACTGTGTTTATTCTCTATTTAAATGTTCTTTCAACAAAAGCTGAAAAGCAGACTGTGGAAGTGTGGAAAAACTTAGTTTCAAAAAAGAACCTTTTGACACCAAAATCCATTTACTAATCTACAAAAACTGATGCTGGCACGCTCAGTTGTATTTGTCATTATTCCCATCTCGTTATTACTCTAAATATTAAAAAACCATGAGAAATCTAATCACCAAATCCAAAGGCA